TGTTACTGAAAGTACTTGTGTGTGTACTCTGTGTGTGTGTGTGCATCAGTGTCGGTTATTTGAATGCAGTCATGCATGCCTGCCCCAGGGTGTGGAGGTGTGTGTGTGTGTGTGTGTGTGTGTGTGTGTGTGTGTGTGTGTGTGTGTGTGTGTGTGTGTGTGTGTGTGTGTGTGTGTGTGTGTGTGTGTGTGTGTGTGTGTGTGTGTGTGTGTGTGTGTGCACAAGAGCTGGAACACATACAGTAACTTGATTGAAATTGGGAATTTTAACATGAGGAGCGTAATCTCAGTCTCACAACAGGCCGCCTCAATGTCAGAGGAGCTCTGCGCTGGTGGCAATTACTATTGACATCACGCTAATTGTAGCTGAATAATTAATCCTTACGGTTCTCGAGTACAGGGACCTGGAAAGGTGAGCTGGATGTGGCAGAGTTTAACCCTGGCACAGTAGAATGGTGACTAATTGGATTAAGGATCATTGTAATTATTGGACAATATTATCTATTTCCATTTTCGTCATGTTTAAGAAAGACAAAGTGGCCATGAATAGACTATCAGGACCCCAGCATACCAATGTATAACATCTACTGTATAGATTCCAATTTCCACACAATGTTTCTGAGAGCTAAATATATACAGTATATACGCAATTATTGGAAGCCAAAATGGCATCATGAAACTAATGTAGTCTGTGTGTGGATGAGCCGAGTGAAACAATTGGATTAGTAGCACTTGTCTGCCATCTATTGGACATTATATTTCAATGTTCTCTTCATCATGTGAAACACAATGTGTTATATACATGTTACATTTTCAACTTGGGTAATAAAATGTAATCTAAGGATTTTACAAAGAAGAAAATGATGGTAGTTCCAATGATTTAGGCCTAACAAGACAGTAAAATGTAAAAATAAATATAATGTATTGAGGTTGAAAGTAGGCCTGTGTTTGTAAAATGTACAAAAACTGTGGTTATGACAACGTCTAACATCAGGCTGCTTTGAGTAAAGAAAGTGCCGCTCAACAAGACAGAAAGTTGTCTATATGCAAGTAAAGTAGAGGAATAAAATAATAACTTACACTCTAGCTCCCGACCTCTGACCTGCCTAAAAGCAAAAAGAAGAATTTCCTAAGAAGGTCCAACAAGGGATCATAGAACTTTTTATATTTATTCAATTACAATAAAAAAGTAGCTTTGCTCACAGTCACACAGTTTTAAAAAAAGTTGAAAGATTTGACTTCACCATTAATTAATTAAATATGAATACAAAATAATCACGTGTATTGTAAATTATTATACTTCAAATCAGAAACGGGCTAAGTCTGTATACATTTAAAAAAGGCATGTTTTTATTGTTTCGCTGAGAGAAACGTGACTTTGATGTTTTTCATTAATCGGACATGCCTCAGTAAATGCCTCAGTAAAAAACATTGCATGTCCTCCAACAACCATGCTGCGAATGGATCTGGCCCTTCCTACATCCAGGACATGGTTAAACCGTACACCCCAGCGCGTGCACTAAGACCCAAGTTCCCATCGGCGAAAACACGTGGGTTTGCTGTCCTGGCTCCAAGATGGTGGAATGAGCTCCCCATTGACATCAGGACGGCAGATAGCTTGCACATCTTCCGGCGCAAACTGAAAACTCATCTCTTTCGACTCCACTTCGAGCGTTAGAACTATTAACGAAGCACTTTTATACTAATAAAGGACTGGCTTACCTAAAGCCAGTTGAGTAGCACTTGAAATGTTTGGCTCTATGAAACCTGATGTACTTATATGATTCTGTTTTCTTCAAGGTTGTGTCTTCCTGGTCGAATGTACTTATTGTAAGTCGCTTTGGATAAAAGCGTCAGCTAAATGCAATGTAATGTAATGTAATGTAACAACGATTTATTTCGACATCCTGACAAAGGGCATGAGGTGATGTCAAGTGCAATGTGGTTTGAAAGGACATGACACTTCTGATCATTTAGCATGAGAAAAATGTACCTGTGAAAATGTTGTTAGATGAACTACAGCGGCAGGATGAGGTGAATCATCCTGCTGAACACAGAAGATGGTAAAGCTCTGTTCATCTACGTCCTTCATTATCGTCTTATACTCATCCAATATGGTGCTTGAGGTGTTATTCATGGAAAGTTGACTCATAACGGCTTTACCTAATGAGTCACTATGGAACATATACGAGTGGCATTGTGTGAAACTGACAACTACAACTTTATTTCAACTTCCCCACTAAAGAAACAAGAGCAAGATTTAACATTTAGAGGTAACCAGACCTTCTTTCAAATACAACACAACTGGACGGCTCATGGCTTCACTGTATAGTAAGACAATGTTGCCATCTAGTGAGTAACAGGGCAAACTGTTTACTGACATGTTCGTTTCCATGTGAAAAGGCTATTGCCCACTTATTAATAGTTATCCCCTAAGCTTTAGTGGAACTGTTTTACCAAAATGTCTCTATGGATAATGTATTTCTAAACACTAGTGCTTTGTTTGTTTGTACTGAATGCTGTAAGAACATTTTGTGTAAAGTGAAACAAACTTCTGGGCATGATACCGAGTCATGCAGTAGGACTATGTTTGTAACTTCTACTTATTGATCAATTATATGAAAACATAAAACAAAATGTCATTTTAAGCCAAGTAAAACAAGTAGCATAGGGACAGGCAATACACTTGCTTCTGTGAATACAGGATACAGACATTGGCAGGAAGAAAGTCCCAGGTGAACAATATGCTACAATTGTAGATGACCATTTTTTTAATTTTTTTAAATAATTCCTTTAACTAATTAATACAAAATAGGCTGGGAGTAAGGCCACTTGATGAAAAATGTTGATGTTTATCAATGCATAATGAAGGTAAATATGATATGTAAACATTTACATATATATTTGTTTCGATCGGATTCAAATGAAAGAAAGATGCCATGCCTTATATGGAAATGAAGGTTGTTTCCAGACATCCTGTATCGTAAAAACAAACAACAACAGGGTATTGATAAAATGCTAAATGGGGGAAATTCGGCCCTGTCCATGGTGCTGAAGGTGTCAGCAGACAGAAGTGACAGCTTAAATAATCCTTAAATAAAACATACGTAAATACAGTAGCTTCAAACAAGGCATGATATTGTTACCATAACAACTTAGTTTGCACACACAAACACAGTGTGCTTTTTGGTTTTACCAGCAGCAACCTACAATTCTATTTCAATAATCGGACTAATCCCGCAATCCCGAAAAGGGCAAAACGAACAATTGAGAGAGACTTGTTTTACCACATTCACATTCTCCCATATCAAAAGCTGAATTTATAGGTTATTCAATGTGTTTTACAGACCCAAGAGACAAAAGGGACAACATATCAATTAAATTAATGCAAAGCTTGTTCTGGCATTTTCTTCTGGTTCCACACTGTCCAAACTTCAACCATGATTGAAACCAGACCTCAATGTGAGCTGAGAGCGCTATCTGGGGGACAAACGGTGTTATGACATGTATATCACAGGGGAGGGGATCAAATCAGTATTCTTTTCAAACCTAATTTAGGAATTATAATCGAATATGCTTTATAATATTGTGCTCAAACATAAATCAGCAAAAATGATTAAAATATCTAAAATTGAAGCCCACTGTGTTATCATGTAAGGTGAAAGTATGCTTTGGAGGGAGACATTTCATGTCTGGGGAGGATGTGTGTATAGTCTGTAGGGGGTTTGTTGATGAAGGCTATTTTTTCTGCATCACCAACAGAAATTAGAGATTTGGTTTTGCAAGAGGGAATAGGCTACAAACAAAATATATTAATAATGAATACCAGTATCTCTTTAAAGTTGATTATACACTTGTTTTCTGCTGACCTGCATCTGAAGCCAAATATCCACACTAGACACTTTAAAAGGAAAATTCTGCCCATGCCTGGTTTAAGCTATATGCATAATGGTAATATGGTTTTGACAGCCATTTAAGATTGTTGCTTTTGTATGTATAATATTTATAAATTCACATTATTTACATAAACGTGTTAATCAAAGCTATTCAACTTAAATGTTTGAAAATGGTTTCAAGAATAATACATTTTCTAGACAAAAAAACTGAATAAAACAGGATAATGTAGCTAGAGCAAAAATCAAGGCTACTGTAGAAGGTAAACAGATTCGTTTAGTGATTTGAAGATCTGAATGAATAAAGACGAACAATTCAGAAAGTCACACTCCAAAGCCAATGCCCTGCACTTTTAAGCATAACTTAATCAAGGTTTTTTAAATGTTAAACTCATACTCTTCAAGACATCACATCACACCAACGTTGAAACAGATGATTTCCAAAAATCCAACTGTCAAGCTCAACCCTTTACAGAAAGAGCAAGAGGTGCAGCAATGTAGGCCGAGTTTAAACCTGGTTTAAACCAATCATAGATTAGTCAAGAAAATGCAAACATGGGAAACACGCAAACTGATGGCCACTTCAACAACACAGAAAGAACACGGAGGCCTGTCCGTCAACACAGAGCCCAAAGCATTGGTAGCCAATAATATACAACTCATACTGTTTGCCAATAAATCACACACATCAGATATCTGGTGCTGAAATGAATGTGTCAATAAACTATGGGGGTTATTCTTTCACACACAGTGACGTCACGAGCTACCCAACAATGCAACGCGCGCCATATATATATATATATATATATATATATATATATATATATATATATATATATAAATACGCCATTTTCCTGGAGGTGCTAATATCCTGGAGGTGCTAATATAAACAGCGAGGTAACGTTGCCAGGCAGAACGCACTAGGTTTTTTTTTCTGAATTAACGGCCGAAGAAATCGCTGCATGTCTTCGGATTACATCTCTGGACTTGAGGGGTGTGCTCTGGGTCGTTACCAGCGTAAACTATTGCTGTGTGGGTTGTCCGATTGCCCTTACAGACTGCCTGCAGATGTATGGAAAAACGACTCTCGAAAGTGGCCTTCGGTCGATTTTGGCAGCATCGACGTCTATCTTCTGGAAACACCAGGTGAATACCCCAATAATATTATCATGCCAATGCATAGGCCTATATGTGGTATTTTAGAGTTGACTAGATATTGATTAAGGCAATAGACTATGATATTCTGCTTGCACCTCGCGTGAAATGGCGGATACCGGAAATACGGTGTCGCCCTCGGCCCAAAACCCGTATGTGTGTGTGAAAGAATTCTCTATCTTTATTCAAGAGCGTGGTATTTAAATTTGAGAGCATACTTTATTGATTTATTTCCCTCAAACCCTGTCCCTCGCACTCAAATAGTGCCTGCTTGCACTTAGATTTGCTCTGCTTCTGCTCAAACTGTACGTAATATAATAAACAAGCAAACATCATACAAGAACCATGCACGCAACAAATTACAATTTGTAAAACCAGCTGCGTAGTAGGCTACATGAAACGAGACAGCAACTTCCTCGTAATGCCTTCCGAAATAATATTGCACCTTCAAATGCACACTTTATCACCATAATGGCTACTTTCTTTCACCAGTAAGCACAGCGTAAAGCCTAAAACATTGCACTGCACGTTTAACCAGTTGTAGACATTATCACTACTAGCGGTCCTACCTTACAGCAGACTGTGCGTTCTTCTTGGCCTTGCTCCTCCTCGGAGACGCATCATTCATCACCATGAGATTCCATGTCCAAACTTGAAAATGTCCAAACTTCCTGACCTGCTAGTCGTGAGTTCGTTAGACATGCTAGTTAACTCTTTGGCCGCTGTCATAGAGAACCGCAGTGACGCGTACTAAACCCCGGAAGTAAACTTCTTCCGGTTCCTTCGTCAAAAACCAATGCAATTTCTCCATAGGATTTTGGAAAATAGCTCGAAATAAGGTCTGTGGTTGACACACATTTAAGAGAGGGATCACGTTTTGTTCAGCCGGATAATCTCCACATGTCAACCCTACTTTTATAATTTTTGAATCATAAATCTAGTCGCCAGAAGTAAAATGCTAACGTTATGCTATAAACGAACTACAAGCTAGTACAGCAGCAGGGCGACTTCAACGTCACGCCAATTTAAGATCGTTTCAACTGACTTGCACTGAAACTGCACTTTGAACACTTTAAATATATTATTAACATTTTAAACTGTATACCCCGGTTATCTAGGCCCTTTTTGTGTTTGTTTAATGTATACCACGTTTATCTAGGCCCTTTTTGTTTTGTTTTATGTATACATGTCACACTGTGGGAAACGATATTTCTGGATGTATAACACATGTAGAATTTTTGACAATAAAGCTGACTTTGACTTTCGCACGCTTGCATATTTTAACAAAGCTTTTCATTTTAGCCACACTGAATTTAACTAGAAGTCATGGCTGTCAATTACCAGTCTGATATCGTTTTACAAAGATGACAAGAAGAGTGTAGATAGATGAGAGAACCACTACAAGTCAGGAAACGTACAACAGTGTGTTGTCAGGGCTAGCATGAGGGACAAGGTTTATAGTGTCGGTGAGTAGTGTGATGCCCCTGTGGGTTCATCAGTGGAGAGGGTGTGGCTGTCCTGTCTTGGCTGCATTGATCGCACTGATTGCAGTAACTCAGGGCACCTGGGTCTGGCAGAGATCTGATTCTCCGGTTCGGCTTAGACCTCATTTTTCCACAAATGAGGGTCTTAAAGTCCGGCAGCCATCTCCTACGATTGTTCAAAAACTGGCATTTGATGATAAAGAACTGGTGAATGTGTATCAAATGGCTGCTGACATATCCTGATTCTCAGGCTTTGTTGCGTTTGATGTTTGCGTTGTTATGCTTGCTGTGATGTTACATTAGTCCGTTCTCTGCTTGTAATTATGCCGAAACAAGTTTAATATTCTGAAAGCCAATACTTTGTTTATTCGAAAACAGATGAAAACAAACTGTCTTTTATACAAAATGGAAGTATTATACAAGTAAAACTACATGTTGCTTTAATCCCATATAATTGTAGAATGAACACAGTCTTCCTTTTTATAAGTCAGGTGTCTTGAGTAGTCAAAATTATCTACAAATCATTGTACACATTTGTAAATATTATTTTCCACTTGTTACCATTGTGAGGCTATTGTTATGCAGCTCTGCGTGATTTTGTAGCTACAATTCAGACTAATACACTACCAGAGGTGGAATAAGTACTCAGATATTGTACTTGAGTAAAAGTATAAGTACTCAGATCTTGTACTTGAGTAAAAGTAGAAGTACTCAGATCTTGTACTTGAGTAAAAGTAGAAGTACCAGAGTGTTACAGTAAAAGTCCTGCATTCAAAATGTTCCTCAAGTAAAAGTAGAAAAGTATTCTCATCAAAATATAGTTAAAGACAGTAAAAGTATTCATTGTGCAGATTGGTCCAGTTCAGAATAATATATATGATATGTTTTATAATGATTGATCATGAAAGTGTTCTCAAAGCTGGTAAAGGTGCAGCTAGGTTGAATGACTTTGTATACTGCAGGGTAGCTTGTGGATTTACTCCAGGTGGAACTAAAGTCTGATTTAACACTTGATTATATTTCACATCATTCATCCACATCTGTGAAGTAACTTAAGGTATTAAATACATGTAGTGAAGGGAAAGTACACCATGTACCTCTGACTTATGTTCACTGCCAACCTAAAAGTACCTAAAAGAATAGTAATCAATAATGTATTGAAAAGTTATTTGGCTGATTGTTTTTATATCGGCTCAGCCAGGTTATATTCAATTCAATTCAATTCAAAACCTTTATTTATCCAGGTGAAATCCCATTGAGATCAATGATCTCTTTTTCAAGGGAGACCTGCAGCAGTAGGTTCCACAAGAAGACATAAACAACAGAACAACAAAAGGACATCATACAGCAAAATGTACAGGGATTACAAGTATATTTAACCACAAGTACAGGTACCAACAGCATCTGATTTTGTAGCATCCAACCGAGCTTTAAAAACATATAGTGGTACTAGCTTGGTAATTGTCCATTCTTTTTGCAGACTGTTCCATGTTAGTGGAGCTGCACATCTAAAAGCTTTCTTCCCTAAGACAGTCCTAGCACTTGGCATATTTAATAAAACCACAGCATGCGATCTCAGGCAATAAGTATTTTCAATTCGCAGAGAGATCAGGGAGCAGATATAAGATGGTAGTTTATCCAACATGGCTTTGTAAATGAAAAAGTACCAGTGACTGAGCCTCCGTACAGTAAGTGATGGCATAACCGCCTTGGTATACAGGGTACAGTGATGCGTAAGTGCTTTACAATTTGTCAAAAATCTCAGTGCACTGTGATACGCAGCATCTAACTTGCTCAGGTAATTGGCAGGTGCATTCATATATAACAAATCACCATAATCCAGCACAGGTAAAAAGGTCACAGTGACTAGCCTTTTCCTGGCCTCAAGCGAGAAACAGGACTTATTTCTGTAAAAGAAACCTAGCCTAACCCTCAGCTTTTTAAGCAGGTTATTGACATGAAGTTTAAAAGTGAGACAGTCATCAAGCCAGATACCCAAGTATTTGTAACAGGTAACCACTTCAAGTTGTATTTCTTGCGTAGTTACAATATCCAAAGCAGTGTCTGGTGTATTTTTAGCTTTAGCTTTAGAAAAGAGCATTACCTTGGTTTTATCCACATTTAAAAGAAGCTTTAGTTCAGAGAGCTGAGCCTGAATAATGTTAAAAACAGCCTGTAATTTAACAACAGCCTCGTTAATCGAGGGACCTGCACAGTACATAACGGTATCGTCCGCATAAAAATGTAAGGTTGCTCCTTCGACATTTTCACCTAAACTATTAATATAGATAGAGAATAATAGCGGACCTAAAACTGAACCTTGTGGTACACCATTAGTGATGTTTAACCACTCAGAAGACAGCCCATCAAACTGAACACATTGGGATCTTTCAGAAAGGTAGTTTACAAACCACCCTACTGCATGGCTGGACATGCCTATACTGACCAGCCTTTGCTTCAAAATGCGATGATCGACAGTATCAAAAGCTTTGGATAGGTCAACAAATAGAGCTGCACAACTCTGCTTATTATCTAAAATACTCGTAATATCATTTACCACTTTCATTGTGGCAGTGATGGTGCTGTGTTGCTTTCTGAAGCCTGACTGATGTTTAGACTGGATGTCATTGTTACATAAAAACACCTTTACCTGTTCACTCACTAGGCGTTCAAGAACCTTGGCCAGAACTGACAATTTAGAGATGGGTCTATAATTGTTTAATAAGGTGGCCTCCCCTCCTTTTAGTAGTGGCAGGACATAAGCTGACTTCCATACCTTTTGGGATTTTGTTCGTGCTGAGGGAGAGGTTAAAAATAGTAGTAAGAGGTGGAGCAATAAAATCTGCAGCTATCTTTAAAAAGAAAGGTTCTACGTTGTCCGGACCAGCCGGCTTTTTAGGATCTAGCTTGGTTAAGACTTCACGAACAACATCAACAGTAAAAGCAGTAAAACTGAAAGGGTTTTCCAGACCACATTGTTCTGAGTCACCGACTGTGGTGTTCACAGAAGCAGAATTAGAAACAGAATGAAACAGAGCCACAGGACACAAAATGCTCATTAAAACAATTTAGTATGGTGGCCCTATCCGATATAGTGCCAGATACTGTGGTAAGGCACGGAGGTAGCTCATTACGGATATCACCGGTGGATATCGATTTTATGGCTTTCCAGAATTTTCTAGGGTTGTTCAGGTTCTTTGTGGTAACTGACAGATAATACTTAGATTTAGCACTTTTGACATGTGAAGTGAAGCTATTTCTTAGCTGCCTAAAACGCAGCCATTCTACCTCTGAGCCTGAATTCCTAGCCTTTGCCCAGGCCTTGTTTCTCTCATGTAGGACACTAGATAATTCAGCAGAAAACCAAGGATTGTCTCGTCCCTTCACTCTAAATTTACGCAGGGGTGCATGTCTATCTATAATTTCCATAAAAATAAGACCATGCGGTTTCTACATCAGCACACAGATCGATTTTTCCCCAATCAAACCCAAACAGATCATGTACAAAACCCTGCTCCACAAAATGTTTTATGTCTCTCTTGATGATAATACGAGGTTTAACCTTTTGGACCTTAGTGTCCCTAATTGTGGCTACAACACAGTGGTCACTCAGATCATTCGCAAATACTCCCACAGCTGAGTATTTATAGGGAACATTAGTTAAAATGAGATCAATTAGGGAGGATTTATTTGGGGACTTAATATTAGGGCGAGTAGGACTGTCAACAATCTGAGTAACATTTAAAGAGATACAAAGGTTTTTAAAATCCTCTGACACTGCAGTTAACCAGTCCCAGTTAAAATCTCCAAGTAGCACTATTTCCTTGTAGTCTAGTTGCGATAAAAGATTTGCTAGCGAAGACAAGGAGTCTTTGACAGCTGAGGGGGGTCTGTAACAGCCCACGACCATGACCTGTTGACCCTTTGCCACTTCTATATTTAAGGCTAAAAATTCAAATTGCTTACTGATAGATTTGGAAACTACAGCGGTTACACTGAACTTATTCTTAACATAAATGGCAACGCCACCACCTTTATTAGGCTGGTCGGTACGATACACATTAAAACCATTTAAGGCAATGTCAGAGGCCAAAATAGATTTGTTTAGCCATGTTTCTGATAAAACAATGACGTCAGCGTCAGTCGAGCTCGCCCAGATACGGACAAAATCTAGTTTACCTAACAGACTGCGCACATTCAAGTGGATGAAACCCAACCCAGACCTAGCTTTAAAATCAGCAGGAGTAGCGATCTGACTACTACTACTGGGCGGACCAGGGTTAGGTTGTACATTTCCTGACAGTAATAACAACAACAAAAACAGGCATCTTTTCCTCTTAAGCGACACACATACATTGTCATCTACTTTAGAATCACCGGAAAAGTCTGCGAGAGTGTGATTAGAGCTTAAGAAGCAGTCCTGAAGAACCATCATCGCAGGAAAACAAAAAAGATAAACATATTTGTGTTGAGCAGATTGACTGTGACAAGGCAACCGGTAATTGTTTGTGTAACACATCCGAACCTTTGCAGGGGATGCCCACTGCGGGTGGCAGAACAGACCTGAATCCAGTAGACTCCTCAGAATGACTAGAGATCTTCTCATAGTCCAAAATAGTTAACAGGCACAGCAGAATCCCGATATGGGCCATTTTCCCAGACCAGGGAACCGCGATGTTCCTGGAGCAAAATCAGCACAGCAGCAAAGGACAGGCGAAAGCAGCAGCGTGGTATCCCCGGGGTGATAGCAGGCCTCTGCGACAGCAGAACCAGGACAGGTGGAAAGCAGGCCCCAGCCGTGGTAAAATCCTCCTCCGTACAGCAGCACACGCCCGGTGGAAGCAGGCCAAGCCCGAAGCGTGGATCCACTCCGTCTCTCCGCGACGACTCCGGGGTAAAAACCTCTCCAGTGCAGCCGTGCAGGTGGGAGCAGGCCTCCGTAGATCGCAGATCGCAGGCAGCAAACAGGTGGAGCCGCTCCGTCTCTTCGCGACGAGCAGGCCTCCGTAGATCGCAGATCGCAGGCAGCAACAGGTAGAGCTGCTCCGTCTCTCCGCGACGTCTCCGGGGTAAAAACCTCTCCAGTACAGCCAAACTCTACAGGTGGGAGCAGGCCTCCGTAGATCGCAGATCGCAGGCAGCAACAGGTGGAGCCGCTCCGTCTCTTCGCGACGAACAGGCCTCCGTAAATCGCAGATCGCATGCAGCAACAGGTGGAGCCGCTCCGTCTCTTCGCGACGTCTCCGGAGGAAAAACACCTCAGTACAGCCGTACTCACAGGTAGGCCTCCGCAGATCGCAGACAACTAAAACTACTACTTGCAGGGATGGCTAAAAGTTTGTAAGCAGGAGAGCTAGATGCTAACAGATGCCAGATGCTAACAGGTAGTGCGAGCCTGTAGAAATTGCGACTGCCTCCAATGACGTTGTCGTTTACTTATATGGGAGGCCCAGTCTACGTACACTCTAAAAACAAATGCTTGGCTTAACAAAGAAAATCAAGGCAATAGGTTGCATCGATGGTTATTGAGTTAAGACAACTTCTAATGACATTTTGTTAAAGCAACAAAGTTATTTGAGTTAGGGGAGAAGGCTTTTCCTCTACAATCAGAGGTGTTTTCAATTACCACTTACTTAATAATTGGTAGCATAAACACAAGTTTTAAATTGATTACTCCAAATGTTCCAACTTGTTTTACCGTAGGATTTAAATGTAATCTTAAGTTGTATGTACTTAATTACCAGTGTTGAACATGGACAGATGTTTTTAAGTTGACAGCCATTTGTAAATTAAGTTGCTCCAAATAATATTGTATTCTATAGGGTTTTCTCTTAGCTTTTCCATGTTTTGCCTTTAAAGAAAGAAATTAATTGATTCCACAACAAAAATATTAGGCAATTCACTTTTTATTTTTGAACTGCAGTTGTTTATTTCAACACATGATGTTTCAATCAGGAGAGTTTGAATTTCAATTTGTATTTGAATGACAAAAGATGACACTCACCTTAAAATGTCCTTTGTATATTTATATTTGTCTTAACTGTGGGAACTTGTCCAGGCATCTTAAGTGGGAGTGGACTTGAAATCCTTAACTCAAGGTGTAGAACAATTAAGTTATCAAGCCAATTGCATTACTTACTTCAACTTGAATTTAGGTTGAAGTCAATTAATGCAGAAATCAGAGTTCAAATGACACAATATTATGTTGATGTAATTACCAACATTATTACGTCAACACAACTTATAAATTAATGTTTGCAACTTAAATGTTTATCTAAATCAATTAACTCACATTTTTATCTTGCAACCAGTGCATTTAATTAAGTGGAGGTGAAAGGTCGCCTGAATTCAGTTTTGAGATGTACAGATCACTCATTTTGAAATATTAAACTTAGTTTTCTTTTCTTTAATTTTTCATCCTCGTGTAGAATGCTATCACGAAACACACATTTGGTTGTTTATAGCATAAAGAACATCTGAGGTAGGGAAATAATCATTTGAGTATGTGCATATAAATATGTAATTTACAACAGCTGTAAGATACTTGAAAAGCTTGAAAATGCACCTTGAAAATGCTTGAAAAGTGCTTGAATTTGACTTTGGAAAAGGTGTAAGAACCCTCTTATGCCTTTGCCTGAAAACGGTGACGAACTTCTCATGGTGTGCACACCTAGACCGGACTTAAAAGACGTTCCTCTGACCAACGCTGACCTCATTTTGTATGTTGATGGGTCTGCCTGTCGCGACCAAGGGGGCACTAATCGGGTGGGTTTTTCTGTTGTTTCAGATTCTGCTGTACTCCGTTCTGGACCACTTCCATGTCACCTCTCAGCACAAGCAGCAGAGGCATCGCACTAACTGTGCACTGCACGTTTGCAGAAGGCAAAACCGTGACTATTTACACTGACTCACGCTATGCTTTTGGGGTAGTACACGATTTTGGGGCTATTTGGAAGTGTAGACAATTTCTCAAATCTGATGGCAAACCAGTACTTAACCATGTACTGGTTGCAGGCTTACTAAACGCCATTCTGCTCCCATCTGAAGTTGCAGTCTGTAAATGTGCCGCACACGCAAGCAGCACAGACCCAGTTTCCCTAGGAAATGCGCCTGCTGACTCAGCCGCAAAGGCAGCTGCTCTGATTCCTCTCGCACCTCACGCACACTCATTTGTTAAAATCCCTGTCTCCTCCTTCACTGACAAAATGTCATCACTGACTTCCATGCAGCAGCTAGCTACACCAGTTGAGAAGGCTCAGTGGAAGGCTGCTGGGGCTGCTTTTGACCCAACCTCCAGCATCTGGGTTGGTCCAAATTCAAATCCATGTCTCCCAAGACATTTCTTCCCTCATTTTGCTAAGTTGACACATGGGTTGGACCATGTGTCAAAAGGGGGGATGTTAGAGGCTATAAATCAGGAGTGGTTCACAAGGGGGTTCACAGTAACAGCTCAAAAGCACTGTGAAGCATGCCTAATTTGCATTATGCAAAATTCTGGTAGACCAGTAAAGGTTACAGGACCCGGAGCACATCCACCTCCCACCAGGCCATTTGAGCACCTAATGCTGGATTTCATTGAGCTTAGCCCATCAGAGGGTAAGAAGCACTGTCTGGTGGTGGTTGACATGTGGTCCAAATGGGTTGAAGCTTTCCCAGTAAAAGCACAGACAGCAAATGCTGTGGCAAAGGCACTACTGAGGGAAATCATTCCTAGATGGGGACTACCAGACAACATTTCTAGCGACAACGGTTCACATTTTGCTAATGAGGCCATTACGCAGATAGGAGAATACATGGGCATGGACATCAGAAAGCATTGTGCTTATCATCCACAGAGTGGGGGTGGGGTGGAAAGAGAGAACGGCACAATCAAAAACAAACTAGCAAAATGCTGTGCAGACACAGGTCTGTCATGGACACAAGCTCTGCCCATTGTGCTGATGTACATGCGGATGCGGAAAAGAACACGGAGTCAACTCAGCCCATTTGAAATCCTTTTTGGGGCTCCTCCACAGATTGGACTCGAGGCTCCAGGACAGGGCTGGACTGGGACAGCAAATCGGCCCTGGCATTTAGACCCAGACCGGCCCAAATCCATAAAACAAACGAATAGTAGCGGTTCCTGACAAGAAGAATAACTCAGTATAATTTTAAAAAACGCTATTATTATTATCCTTTTTACGTACCAGGGGCAAACTAAACTAATACATACCACAAGTATGTGTAACTATCAATCATTAGAAATTAGACCTTCAAACCCTCTCACAAAGCGAACAGTGACCGAGCACTAATAGGGGGGTCTGATGGTGGTTGTTGTGACAGTCATTCTTTGGTGGGGGCTCTAAGGCTCCCCTCTGACTCCGCGCGTCCTTTTGTGAATGGGTCAGATTAACAGAGGAAGAATTCACAGCAACCATTGGTAAGGTTATAACAAATATGCTGATTTAATGGTAAAAGATACACATACAATATCATCACGAAGTAATCCGGATTACTCCGGCCCTGTCCTCCCGCTGGGAACTCTTACTTACTCGTCTTGGCAGCTGGAGGAAAGAGAGCGAACGCCAGGACTCAACAGGAGATATACAAGAATAAAACAGGAGGGGTTGGGTCAGCTGGTCATCTTTTCAGGTCATCTCATTGGGAGATGCAAAAGATGCTCTGTCACAGTGAATCAGCGCGTGCCAGCAGAGAACCTGAAAACAGTCTCAGTTTGAAGCAAACACATCTGGTATTTCAGCAGGTTTCACACACACTCATTTCCCTTCTTTTACCATTTAAGGTAACACAGACACATTGGGTGTCCTGCACGGACCCTTCATAACATATACAGAGAACGCACACTAATTTCAGAGATCTGAGCTATCTTCAAATAAGGGCATTCCCCTGCTCACCTTTTACTTTAAATAATGGTTTTACTCATATTTCCAACTCCCTATTATTATTGATACAAAGTAATTAAACACACACATATATTTTAGACATGTATGTTCTAGCTACTTGGCATTCTGTGTTTAGATAAGAATGTGTACTCTCCCCACATCCCCAGTCTCCTGTCATGCCAACCTGCTCCTTTATTTCACATAAGTAATTTAAACACATTTAAGCCAACTACTCACAAAGTTGTGGCAATTTAATACTCACAACATGAAAGAATCAAACAGAAAGAAATCAATAAAAACACAAGCATCAGTATAATTGAGCAGTTATGATACAGCCAGATGGCTACTGCAACACACACACACACATCCTACTCTGCTGCCTATAGCATATGTCTATATAAGGGTATTTCCTCTCTGTCTCCTTCTCTTGACAGGGAAGTTTTCACTTCTCATCTTTCCAGCTTCTTGTTCATATAAACTGCTACTATTAAATACAAAGTAATTAAGTACACACATGAATATATAAAAACACACTTCTTATATATCAGGGGACATTAAAATGAATATACCAAAAATTACACTATTAAACTTCCTGCTATAATATATTAATTTAATTATCTTCATTTCCCCCTTTTGTTCTTATTTCCAAAGATCAACTTTAACAAGGCATTTGAAACATAACTATAGTCATTATTTTCTACTGTGTCCGTCTCAACATTGTATAAATCTATCAGAAACTGAGACCCAAAGTACTTGAAATCTTTGGGAACAGAACACCACTTTCCATGGCAGTGAAGGAACCATGAGAGGTGCAACCTGAGTGCTAGAAAGCAGTCTCCTTGTGGTGAATCATGTTAGAGATTTAAAGGGCTTAACTGGTCCGCTTTTCAAATCTCCGCGCGTCCCTATCAAGCTGGTTATAATACAGGAAGGAATCCAGAGCTACCAAGTAACCGTTAAACAATAATCTACTTTAATGGTAATATGACAATGCAATACAATCAATACAGTACAAATTCAATACAGTTACCTTTGGGATCCCGAATTTACCTGCACGTGAGCCAGCCAGAGGAAAGAGACTGAACACATCGTGTGTCTCTGTGTTTATACTTTCTAACAATGGGAGGAGTTATCTGATCCGCCCTTGTGGACCTCCTTGATTGGATCACAAATACCTCAGATCTTAGTTATCTGATCCGCCGTTTTGGACTTCCTTGATTATATCACAAACACCTCAGATCTTAGGTTTCCCCAATCACTGTAGCTCAGTTCCATTATCTCTAGATCTAAGTTGAATGCAAATCAATACATGCTCTCACCTTCCTTTGTCCTCAAAAACACATGTCAACAGGCCCCAAATCCAGCTCACAGTTTTACACAAATTATTTCCCATTTTAAGCTTATTCATAGTTTGCTAACATGAATACATACAAATATTTCACTACAAATCCCCCTTTTTATCTCTTTCTCCAGAGATAAACTTAAACAAGGCATTTTGAAAGATACCCACTGTCATTCTTTTCTACTGTGTCCGTCCCCCAAACATTCATGGAGACAGAACACCACTTTTCATGGCAGTGAAGGAACCATGAGGGGGCAGCTGAGTGCTAGAATCATCAGCCCCCCCTCGGAGGAATAGCCCACAAGGACAGCTAATAGGGAGGGGGAGATGCGGCTTTCCCTTCACGGGTGGAACTGATCAGAGAGAAGTAGACTCCTCTGCTGCCTCGACAAGTCCCCTGTGCCGTCCTGGCTTGCCGTGTCTTTGTCCCCCCGATCCGCTGACGGCAGCTTCTGGGCTGCCTGCTAGAGAGATGTCTTCCTCCTCCTTCTCCAGCCCGCTGATGATGCCTCCCGGGTCGTCTGCTGTAAGGATGTCTCCAGGGTCCTGCTCCTCCAGTCCGCTGCTTCCGAATAGTCCACGTCTGCCAGGGCCACGGCCGTCCTGATGTCGTCCCCTGGTCCTAGCAGGTGGTTTCCCCGCCGCACACTGGCTCCCGTGGTACGAGCTGTCCCCCTTTTCTCCTAGGCAGACGGCATGAGAGGTCCGCTGGGTCACTCGGTCGGGGCCGGAGAGCCTGGAGTTGAGCCACTTTGTCCTGATGACTTTCAGCCAGACGAACTCTGCTGTGTCGGCCTCGTGCTTCTCGGGTCCCCCTTTTGGCGCCAGCAACCTGTGTGGAGAAATCTGATACAACTCCCTCAAGCCTACGCTCAGCTGTTTTGACCCACTTGGAGCCTGTTGGTGGGGTGTCTTGAAACAACAGCCGTCTGTGAACAGGTTTTCTAAATTAATTGTAGACCTCCTATCTGCCAGTGCAGCTTCAGAATCTTAATACTTGGATTGTGCCAACTAAATAAGAACCCCAACATCTTTAGGTAAACTAAATAACCTATTTCAATAGCTCTGAATTTCTGACAAGCATCCGTGTTTATTTTTAAATGAAATCCTATTTAAAATCCAAATATAATATGAACTGCTAATGTTTCTGGTAAAGAAACACACTAATGTTATGGATTCAAAAACAACCAAAATCACGATACTAACAAAGTGAATGATTTCCTGGTGATACTGCTTTTACCTGTCAGTGCTTAGATATTATCACGCTGAAAAAATGAATACAGAATTCCAACAAACTGTCATCAAATGTCTTTCTATTATAAATTTAGATGAAATGTATATCCCCATAATGACCTAAACAATAAAGTCTATGGCTTTTACTTCTTTACCATGCTAGTTACATGATGTTGTCTAAATTAAATTATGTCTCAATACATTACTATGTTTTAGCTTTAACTGTAATATGTTCTTTCTGTAAAGGAATATTTTGGTCTTGTTAAAGTATATAGAGTTTAGTGATTTGTCCTCGGGAATCTGTTTAATATGGTTGAAGTGTATTCCTGCCTGTAATGTGATCCATAGCTTCTCAGGAAGACACAGGTCAAGAGGTCATCTGATGTCTTGTGGGGGAGAAGCTTGGCTCATGTGGGTTTACAATGCAACGAGTCTTTGTCTCGACATCTGGCATGCATTAAAGGAAAACCCGCGTGTTTTAGGGCCCTCCTCTTCTTGTCTGTATAGATGGGTTCTTGGCGCTTTTAGGCTTCAGAGTTTGCTGGGATCTTACATGAGAACTGTGATATGCTGTGAACTCTCCGGCCATCAGGCTCTCAATAAATATCAGTGTATTGACAGGCGAATCCAGTTTCACTCATTTCATGATTGGCTCAACATTGCTGCAAAGAAGTTTTAACTTCACACTTTCTACATTTCAAACCTCAGTTACTCTAATGTCTGTTAAAATATTAAAAAATTGTTTCATTATCACAGGTCAACTTCTTCGGTAATTACATCTCTCACAGTAGCCCCTTGGCCACTGCTTCTGTGTTACCTGTTATAATTCAAATCAATATTTAGAAACATCTCAACATTCATCAAACAGTATCTTATCCCCAGATATGGAGCAGGTTAATTACATTCAATGCTCAGTTTGAACATCTGGGTTGGGGCGGAAGGTTTCTGTCAATCCTTAAAAGAAATTGTGAATATTACAGCCATGTTGACATTATACATTATACACACTCCCCCCTTTTTACACATGAAATGATGTGTAACAAAACCCTGTAATGGGAGGGGAACAAAAACTGTCAGGTAATTGGTTAGGGACATAACGAACATTATTTACAATTTGACATCCATTATCATTATTTCCACAGTAAACACTTCAGTGAAAAGAAGTGTTCCTCTCCGTCCTTCAGGCCTAAAAGAAACAGAATCTTCAGATTTTAGTTTTACATTTGCAAACCGCCAACTCATGTGAGAGTAACATATAATCAAGTAGATTAGAACCGGGTCACATGTGCGGTTTCCCCTTTTTGTGGAATTTTTAGGAAACCTCTCATTTCCCTTGGAGCACCAAAATAATATGTTAGTCCAAAAACATGCTTGGTTAGTTATTGTTTTCGAATCATGCAGTTACACTGATCACATGCCGGCATTCATTCACACTCACACTGTCTGGTTGTCATGTCAGGTTTGGTCAGGTACACCCCAGAGTCAGTCATGGACAGTGCTTTTGTCACACTGTCAGTCAGGGTCAAAGGTCATTTGGTCTCGGTCTTTTGGCCATGTCGTGCTCTGCAGAGTCTTTTCAGAGGTATTTCAGCATAGGGTACCCTTTATCTACAAAAATATATCATATGCGGAGTGCCATTCCTTATTCATTCACGATTCCAACTATGATTTTCAAGATGGTTCTAACTTTTCATTGGGACTTCTGCCTCCCACTTTTCCTGAAACTTGGTACAAAACTCACTTTCTTAGAGTACTACTACTACTGCAATTCATTTACACCTAATTAGTATTAAAATGTCTAATGATCTATTTCAGAAACTTGTGTACATAACTATTATCTTGAGTCAAAACATTACTAGGATCTGTGTCGCTCTGCATTTCATAGCTCATTATCTTTAATTCTGGTCTACTTAAAAAACAATGTTAAACTCTTTAGCAGTGTGTGGAACCTTGGGTGTCCGAACATGCAACAATTACTCCCTCCCAGGGGCGGATCTAGACAAATATTCATGGGGTGGCAAGAGGGTGGCAGGAGATTTTGAGGGGTGGCATCCCCTGACAGAAGTATATGCTGATTGAAATCGCAATCATATCAATCAATTAGGGGTGTAACGGTACACGTACCCGTACTGAAATTATCCGGTACGGGCCCTTCGGTTCGGTGCACGTGTGTACCGAACGGTACACGTGTGTACCGAACGAATATAGCGTTAAACGTAAAAAATTGAGAACAACTTTCTGGAAGTAATCTCAGGTATATATCATAGAGCGACCAAGTCATTTCATTGGACGAGAGGCATACTATGAGAGCTGGTCACAGGGATGCGTTCAAATGTAGTCAGTAATTTGAGGAACTGTCGAAATGGCGAACGCAGATAAAGTTGAGCTGAAAATCCTCCAGCATCATTGAAGTCTCCGATTTGGGAACATTTTGGTTTCGCAGTTACGTACAAGGATGACGGACAAAGACAGGTGGACCGAACCAAAGCTGTTTGTCGACATTGTTCAACTAACATTGGTTACGCGGCTGGCAATACATCACACTCATTTGAAAAGGCATCACCGAACGTGAATATCACCTGTACCAAAAGAAAAAAGACTGAAATGCAAACCCAACTCCCACTGCATGTAAGCCTCCACCACTCGAGAACAAGTTCAGACCGAGCCAAAGCTATTACAAACGCCAAGTATCCTTATGTTGCCATGTTAGCAAAGCGCTACCTGGCTGTGTCTGCTACCTCTGTCCCTAGAGAGGGTGTTCTCCACAGCAGGAGACATTGTTAGTGCCAGCAGATCTGCCATTTCAGCAAGCAATGTGGACAAGTTCATCTTTCTTTAGAACAACATGAAAATACAATGAAAAGCAAGTCCTAATGTCAAGCTGGCTGCTTAGGTACTAGTACAGTTCAAATACAGATTATTTCAGTTCATCGAAATGCTGCACCTTAATGTTTATTTTACTATATTTTGTATTTATTTGAATACATTAGTCAGTTTAATAATAATAAAAACAAAATATTTAATGTTTTGTGATTTTTTTTCTGCTGTACCGAAAACGTACCGAACCGTGACCTAAAAACGAGGTACGTACCGAACCGAAATGTTTGTGAACCGTTACACCCCAACAATCAATGTTAACTTGGAAAGCCACAATATTAATATTTTAACTCAATCACATAGGTGATATTATTGTGGCACATCAGTAAAGCCTTACATATAAGGTGGCAGACGTAATTTAATGAATTTTAACTGAACAATAACTGAATGAGTTTGTCTCACTCTTAGACCAGCAGGGGAACCAAATATATACAGACTGCTGCAATAAGTACATTAATTAACTGTCTCATGGATGTTTGTCTGAATGAATATCATAATATTAACAATCATATTATTCCTATCAGCTGTCAATCACTGTTAATAAATAATAATAATAATAATAGATTTAATTTGTTAGCGTTTTTACAGGTGCTCAAAGAGTCGCTTTACAGATATAGTGAAGAACTGCATGATTCACATATTCATTTATTATTGAATAAACTATATTTTTTGGAGGAGTTAATGATGAATGTTCATCAAGATGCTTGCTCACCCTCCTTCAAATTTGAAAAACAAGTAATTATATCATTATTGATATACAGTTACAACCTTGACTTTACATCAGAAAGAACAAACATTAAAGAAGTGACTAACTGCATCAGTTAGGGTTAAAAAACGTGTATTCAGCTAAAACATATACATCGCTGCAGTTATTATCCAGTGGAAGGTCCTTACTTACTGGCCTAGT